TTTTTTTTTGTTCTACTTATCTGGAGTTAATGTTATCATAAATACTGACAGAAGAGGAAATATTGATAACTACGAAGTTGGCACTTCCTTTTTGCATGGAAACTTGTCATTATGAGGGCTTTAAAAGATTGTCAGAGTTTTTGGCCAAACACCCTAATTGTCTTGAGAGAACTCTCATCCAGTGATTGGTGGAAGCAGATGCAGAGATCCACAGCCAAGTGCCAGGTGAAGCTCCAGGAGTCTCAACAGTTGAGAGAGAGGGCGGATTATATGAGCAAGAGATATCGAGACCCTGATGGAAAAATCACAGGGACAAATAGCCAAACTAGTGGAAACACATGAACTGTGAGGCAATAGCTGAGGATCCTCCATGGAACTGGACCAGGATGCGTGAGACAGTTGATGAGCTTGAGCTGTTTAGGAGGCCCCCAGGCAGTGGGACTGGGAACTGTCCTTGGTGCATGATCTGGCTTTTTGTAACCTAGAACCTATGCTGAGACACTTTGCTCAGCCTTGGTGCAGGGAGGAGGGGACTGGACCTGCCTCAACTGAATCTACCAGGCTGGGCTGAATCCCCTTGATTTGGAGGAGTAGGAATGGGGGGTGGATTGGGAGGAGGATGGGGGCGGGGGAGGGGGAGGAGGGAGGATAGGGGTATCTGTGGCTGATATGTGAAATTATTAATTATAAAATAAAAATATTTACTAAAAATATAAAAAAAATCATACAGGTATCTCTGAACTGAGAACTTGGCCACAGGCAAGGGGGAAGAAACATTCAGCTCAGATTTCAAAATAAATTCAACAGAAGGACAATTCAGTGCAACTATTCATTCCCAGTCAGTTCCTCTTTATTCTCCTGTTCTACTTTATATGATAAGTGCATTTTACTTTCAGGTCCCTTTTGAAGAAAGAGAATGCAATACATTTTCATGGAGAAATGGAATCAGAGCTCAAGTGGTTTCATTTTATTAGGATTGTTCTCACAAAATCACACAGACCTATTGCTTTTGCTGCTCATCATCTCCATATTCTCTGTGGCCTTGCTTGGCAACTCAGCAATGATCCACCTCATTCCTGTGGATCCCAGGCTCCACACCACCATGTACTTTCTGCTCAGTCAGCTCTCTCTCATGGACCTGATGCATATTTCTACCACTGTTCCCAAGATGGCATTCAACTTCCTCTCTGGCCAGAAAAGCATTACCTTACTGGGCTGTGGAGTGCAATCCTTTTTCTTTCTGACCATGGCAGGTTCTGAGGGCTTATTCCTGGCCTCCATGGCCTATGACCGTTTTGTGGAGGGAACTGAGCCTCACCAACCATTATAGGATTTTCACAAGTTGTCATGTAACTTCCTGAACTTCTGGGCCATTACTTCACAAGGGGTTCTTGCTGGGAGTTTGTTCTTGATGATAGGCTTCTGGGGGAGAAGCAGAAGGAGGCGTGAGACAGAGATCTGTGGTTGGCATGTAAAATGAATTTTTAAAAACATGTTTAGAAAAAGACTTAAAAAAGAAAACAAAAGCCAGACAAAAAAGATTCAAGGATAGAAAGATGCTGGAGTGTTCAGTGTCACTTGCCTGCAGGGACAGGGACAGAAAAATCCAAGTCCAAGTCGGAGATGAAACAGGAGCCATATCTATCTGTGTCAGGAGACACTGGCAGGTACTGTGAGTGGAACTGGAGGCAAGTGGGTTCTTGGTGAGGAACAGCAGTCTGACTTCTGTGTGGATAAATTCATCTAACCACAGGACAAGGCAATGGGCTTTCCTCACACTTGCCATCTCTGATGACTGTGTTTATATAACACTGCTTTCCATCTAAGTGGAAATGTGATCCAACTGTGTAAATGATTGTGATACTGAGAAATGCCTGACTATGGCCTTGAGTATAAACCCATCACAATAAAATATGTTCATCATGAATGTTAGCCCAAAAGAGAATTTGTTTTGTAAGTCAAAAATGGTTATCTATTTTCAACATATGTCACGGTCTTACTTATCCTTTTCTCCTTTCTCCTTAATAACCGAATCCCAACTGTGAGTATGCCCACTGTGTCTTTGTAGAGTGGGTTCATTTACCTTGTGCTACAGTAGCAGTAACAACAACTGTAAAGGCATGCAGCAGAAGCAGCTGTAGAAGAGGCTGTAGCCTCTGGAGAGGAAGCAGGAGCACGAGAAGCAGAAACAGCAGAAGCAGGAGCAACAGCAACAGACGTGGAAGTGGAAACAGAGTCAGAAGCAACAGTTGAAGTGTTTCTGTGACCAGAGTTCTCTAGAGTGTCCTCTGGTTCCTGGAGTCAGTACTTACTCTCTTCTTGAGCCTTTAAGGACAATTTGAGATGTGTTATTTTTCATAAAAAGGGAATGTTACACGGTCATTCATTTTATCACTTGTCAATGCCATGGTCTCCATTTTCGTCCACAAATATCTGTGTATTCCTTTCAGTTTTATCATTAGAGACCACTAACATTTTTAACCTCTGCTTCATTTCTACTTGAGTAAAAGACCCATGGTTTCATAAATCTCAAAAGCAGATATGACCATCTGGCTTTAAAAAAATCTGCACTTTGTTACCTAACACATTCATTTCCAACATGATGGGAAGAGGTAAACAGAAAAGGTCAAAATGTGTCCTCTCCAGTGTGCACGACCTGGTTGTTTAACAGCCAGATTGAGAGAATGTGACAATGAAGGGCTTCTAGAAGGAAAGGAACCTCTCCCTTCTGCACTCCATGTCATGGGGAACTTACATTGCCTCCTTGCTAACCAGCTTTCCTCATAACTCTCCAGAAGTCAGGTTTCCCATTCCAGGAATTTCTCCTGGGACTCAAGGAAATTCCTTTAGGAATTCTCTGAAGGTTTTGAAATGCCTCAGTACTTCCATGTTGGAAAGTGAGTGTTTTTCTCCTGCTAAAGTATTATGTCCAGAAGGTAATAGTATTATAGAAATTTATGTGAGGTATGATTCTCCACAAGTGCCTGCATCTCCTTATTCCAAGAAGTGATAGACTTAATGATAATAGGAAGGACAGTTTTTATAAGCAAGGGACATCGAGGTCATGATGGGAAAAAGTACAGAGATAATCAACCAAGCTAGTGGAAACGCATGAACTGTGGACCAATAGCTGAGGACCCTCATGAGCCTTCACCCAGTGACTGATGGGAGCAATGCAAAGATCCACAGCTGAGGGCCAGGCCGAGCTCTGGGAGTCCAATCGATGGGACAGAAGAGAGATTCTATGAGCAAGGGACATTGAGATCATGGTGGGAAAATGTATAGAGATGGACAGCCAAACTAGTTAAAACACATGAACTGTGGACCAATATCTGTGGAGCCCCCATGTTACTGGACTAGGCCCTCTGGATATGCGGGATAGTTGTTTAGCTTGAACTATCTGGTGGGTTCCCAGGCAGTGCGATCAGGATCCATCCCTGGTGCACGAGTGGGCTTTGTGGAGCCCAGTGCCTATGATGGGACACTTTTTGCAGCCTTGGTGCAGGGAGGAGGGGCTTAGACCTGCCCCAGCTGAATGTACCAGGCTCTGCTGACTTCCCATGGGAGACTATGCATTGGAGGAGATGGGAAGGGGAGGTGAGTGTTTGCGGGGGTGGGGGGTGGGAGGCTGTGGGGCGGGAGGAGGGAGGAGAGGAGGAATCTGTGGTTGGTATGTAAAAGGAATAGAAAATTTAATAAAATAAAAAATAAACATCTTCCTAGTATGGAGCCTACAGAAATTACTGCCAGAAGATAATATTCAGCTTGATTGATTTAAATTGATGACCACTGGCAGATTGCATTAGCATGTTACATGGGATCTGTAGATAATCACTACTCAGTACATCAGCTTTTAAGAGTTTTTGAAGATACTCAATGGGTTTGAGCTAAAATTGCATCTAAAAATCTATCTATAGAGTTTGCTCATAGTGATTTTACACATTGTTCTTCAAAAAGACAAGGAGCATATATTTTATACACAAATTTCCCACATTCCACAGAATGGATAGTACCTTTTCCTGACTGTACAACTCAACAGTCAAAACTTAATATATTCCATCAGTTTTTATTAGACATTGCTCAGTCATGTTTTTTTTTTAAACTCACCATGTTCCCATGTCATTCTGGCTACCCCATGCCAAACAGACCTGGCTGACTCATTCAGCTCACACATTAGGCCTAACTGGACTCTAATAGAGTTAAGTCCGAGCTGGACATCATCAGCTGGGGTTTATATTAGAAATAAGCCAGGGCTGCAGATATGGCTCAGCAGTTAACTAGCTGGCTGCTTTCCAGAGGGCCCAGATTCAATCCTCATCTCCCACATTGGAGCACAATACTGTTATTAATTCCAGTTCCCGGGTATCTGACACCTTCACACAGATAAATATGCAGGCAAAATGCCAATACGCATAAAAATAATTACATGTTTAAAAAAACTGGGCAGTGGTGGTGCACACTTTTGATCCCAGTACTCAGGAGGCAGAGGCAGGAAAATCATTGTGAATTGGAGGCCAGCCTGATCTACAGAGCAATTTCTAGCACAGCCAGGGCAACACAGAGAAACTGTGTATTGAAAAACTGTACAAGAGGAGGAGGAGGAGGAGGAGGAGGAGGAGGAGGAAGGAGATGAGAATGAGAAAGATGAGAAGGTAGAAGAGAAGGAGGTGGAGGAGAGGGAGCAAGAGGAGGAGGAGGAGGAAGAGGAGGAGGAGGAGAAAGAGCAGAGGAGAAAACAAGCCAGGCTGGG